ACAGGAATGACCGGTCAGTTCTCCAGAGAGCTGTTGAGGCCTGTTCTGCTGGACCACCCCCACGCTTTATGCGTCGTCCATCCTCATCCTCTTTGACTTTCCCAGTCATTTTTGACTTGGTTGGCCAGTCTCCGCGTGAGTTTGGTGGTAACACCTCCATCAAGGACTATGAAACATGGGTCCAGGCGGTGTTCGATACCATGTTCACGACTTCAAAAACCATCCCCCACCTCAAGGGTCAGGTAGAAAGCGAGGGCAAGTCAGCGATGCGGAGGGTTTTGGAGGTGGCAACATACCGAGACGAAGCTCTTTCCGCGGAGAGCCTCCGGCAGGTGTGCAAGGAATTTGCCCTTGGCGAGCGTAAGGATGATTGGGATATACTTTTGTCCATCGTAAAACTCAACCCCGATGCGTTTCTGCTCTCGGAGGACGGAAAGGAGCTTCTGGACCAGATTCTGGAAAAGACGAAAGGTTCAGATTCCTTGACTGATGAAGACCGGGAGGTGGCTGTCGAGTTCATTGCCCTCCTTGCCGAAGGATATGCCCAAGCCCGCGACTTGTCTTCGTTTGTCAAGACCTGGCTTCATTACCTCGATTCTCCCAAATCCGAAGGGAAATTGGACCCCCTGTGGGCACAAGAAGAGCTAGCGGGTACAGTCGCGTCTTTGGTGCAATCTTCTCTCAATGCCAATCAGCTTGCGGAGTTGGTAGCATGGCTGTCGGAGCAAGAGGCAAGCGCGGCAAGGGTTTTCCTTCTTGAGGCTCTTTCTAGGGGTGTTGCTCGCGAGGAATTTATTGATGCGGCAAACATGAAGATTTTTGATGCTATCATGGCTCAGAAAGTCTCCAAGAAGGATGCCCCTCTCATCTCTGCTTGCCGTTGGAGTGATGCTGCCCGGACTCTCGCTGAGGGCACGCTGGAGGAGGCCGGTCGGGTTTGGTCACGGGTCGGCTCGCACCTAAAGAAGACTTTGAAGAAGTCGGGGGTGGATGGGGAGGATACCTTTGCTGCGTTCGAGTGCTGTGTCGCTGCTTGGCTGTCAAACTATCTTGAAGGTGCCGATGAGGAGGAAACGTCTAAATTGGTCTGCTCCTTCCTTGGGAAACTTGAGGAGGATGCGAGCTCCGAGTCAAGGAGACGATATATCTCTTGGATTCTCGAGGAGGAGCCTCGTCTTGTCAGGTGTGGATCTATGACCTTCATTTCTGGCTACTTTGCTAACTGTTCACAGCATGGTCGTTGACAAGACGGGCAAAGTACCAGGTATCATTCTGTCGCTTGTCAAACCCACACCTGGGGATGACTCGGCTGGTTTGCGTCATGCCGCCACAGTTGGCAAAGTTCTGTTGAAGGAATGCGATACTGGAAACCAGAAGCTCACTGGTAAGCTGGCTCAGTCTTGTTGTTAATGACACATTCTAACGTCAACAGATACTCTGATCGACACCGTCATCAAAGTGATTAAAGAGTCTGAGGCCGGGACGTTTCAACCATCAACCAAGGATGCTGTTCTGTTCCTGCTCAATGCGCCTATGGAAACCCTTAGCCGCAGCCAGCGGGAAGCCACGATGAAGACGTTGACCAGCCACGTTCCACGAACCTCGAACAAGGCGGGACCACTTGGGGTAGACTACTGGGAGCCAGTGCTCTCCTTGATGGTCAAGCTAATGAACGAGCCAACCTTCTATGAGGGGATGAGCTTCAGCCATTTGGAAACTGTTGGGGCAGTTCTTGTTTCAACGACGGGTGATGATGCCGAAGCTCAGCGCCTCTTCTCTTTGCTGTACGACCTGGCTGTGTTGACTATCCGACAAATGGCAAGCGGAAACCTTGATTCGAGGGAGAAGACATACCTCTCTGATGCCAAGGCGGTGCTTCAGGAGAAGGCAGCTGATGGCGATACTGTCGTGCGTCTCGTTCTTCTGCGCGCCTTTCTCGCGACTGTCCAAGAGTCCAAGACTGCCCCAAGGCTGGAGAAGGCTGGTCTGGACTTCAGCGGCCTTGGAGATGACCTATTCCAGATGGCTTCATCCGTTGCGACAGCCGGCAAATGGCGTGGAAAGAAACTACTGGCTCTTCTGTTCGCGTTGTCTGCTCTTGACAGTATGGGACGCGATTCTGTCAAGCAAGCGGTCGCCTCTGCCGTGAAGCCACTCGTCAAGACTAGCGACAAGCTGGTTGACGAAGGCATCCAAGCTGGTTGGTCCATCCGCATGTTCTTGGCAGACCACTTCCTCGAATCCCTCGAGTCCCCATTCCAAATCGAGCTCGACATGGAGATTTCCGAGACTGGCGAGGTCATCGGTCCGCCCTCGAAGTCCCAATTCTCCGCAAATAAATCCAACCCCTAATCCGCCCCGCCAACAAACCCATCAAATTCAATACCTCAAAAACTCCTCCTCACAACCCCCC